GGCGGCTCCAGCCACAGTCCCGATCCTGCCAAGATACCCCATGCTCAGGACACTGCGAGCCTGAGCCCCCAGCCCCAGCCCGAACAACACTGGGGCAGTGGGAGCAGCGCAGGCCTGATGCAGAGGTGATGGGCTTGCACATCGGTATGCCAGAGAGCACCCTGGGGTGGATGCTGCGCTCGGACCCCTTCTCTGAAGGCACAGCCCTGAAGACGCAGGAGGTCCCCAGCCCCACGCAGCAAGTCTCCTCCCTGCTTTCCAAGGCCAAGACCAGGCCAGACCCACTCCCCGTCCCCATCACTCCCCCAGCAGGGGACGGGGATGCCCCCACAGGTGCTGCAAAGAGCCTCTGTGGAAGCTGGCCCCTTGGAGAAGGTCATGCTCTCCAAAAACACAGCCAGTTTAGGGCATCCCAAGGGCACTGTGGGTCCCCCCACCAGCAAACCCTTTCTGAGGCACCCCATTTCCCTGCTCCCCATCCCACCCTTCCCGCAGTAGCACCGATGCGAGCACCATGCTGTCGGGGGCCCTCCTCGGGGCGAGCAGCTGCGCGGCAGACACCGAGTGGAGCCGAGCAGGACATCCCGGCCCCTGGGGTGGGGGTCTCAGCCATGTCCAGGGGGGTCCAGCTTACAGCCAGCAGCATGGGTCATCTCTCCTCCTGCTGCTGGTGGTGAAGTTCCCCAGGACGGCAGGAGCCGCCGGGAGCCAGGGTCCCCTTATCTCGCACATGACACCTGGAGCTGGGCCAGAGCCCTGCCGGGAAGGCAGCTGGGAGAGTCACCAGAGAGCCCCAGCTGAGCCAAACTGTCCATCCCTTCCCAGCCCCGCCACTGCTGGGGCTCGGCCTGCAGCATGGCCGTCCACCCCAGTACCTGCCCTGGTCCCTGCCCCAGTCCCCGCTCTCAGGGAAGCTGCTAGGACAGGGCAAGGCAACCGCATGGGACAAGCATGGGCGTTCGCAAGGCCCTGGGGACCCTGGGACAGGCCAGTGCCACTGCAGGGACCCCTGGGGGACCCTGACGGCCAGGGAACTGCAGCAGGACCCCCTGGCAGGAGCGCAGCTAGGACCCGAGGGTGCTGGCAACTGGCCCAGGGCTTGGGGCCAGCCCACCGGCAGCTGCCAGCCCTGGCCAGTGGGGCCCCCCGGGGAGCCGCAGGGCACTGGAGCCGGCAGTGACGGCAGCACTGGCCGGGAGCGGGGATCGGAGCCGGGGTGCGAAGCAGGACCCCCCGCCCAACCCCACTCCGGCTGCCCTCTCCCAGCCCCAGGGCTGACCCCGGCAGGCAGCAGGGTACAGGCAGGAGCCCACCGCAGGCAGGGAGGTACTGGAAAAGACTCTGGGCCCAATGCCCCAACTGTGTCCACCCTCTCTCTCTGCAGGATGCAGAGTGGGGTCCCCACGGGCAGGGGTCTCCTGGCACGCGCCAGCACCCCAACCCCTCACCCAGACTTTTTTCTAGAAAGTGACCCTCTGGAGAAAAGCCAGCTTTGCCATTATCTCCCAAACCTTCTCAAAGTCATGGTGCCCTGTCACCCAGCACAGCCCTTGACGTAGGGACCTGCCTGCCCCCAGTGCTTGCCAAAAACCCTCCCCAAAAATCCTTGCAGCAGGCAGCACATGGAGCAGCGGTGTCTGGACAGCCAGGCAGTGAGGTAGGCGCTAGGGAAAAATAAGAGCGGGTTTTAGGGACCCTTTAGCAGGGCGGTCCGCAAAGCGAGTAGAGAGTGATGCTCGACAGGAACAAAAGCGAAGCACTCCATCGAACGGCGGCCACAGGATGCCACGAACGTGAGTGGGCTTAAAAACACCCGCTTAAGCGGGGGGCTACAAAATATGATGTCATCTCCCCCCACCCCAGCACCTTCGCAGGGTGCGAGAGGCCGAAAGCAAACGTGGGGCTGGGGAGCCTGTCCCCAGGGATTCACCCCAGTGCCATGGGGCTGGTGATGCTCGTTTTGGAGGGGATGCTTGTCCCTATGGGCTCTATCCTTCTTCCCGCAGGACATCCCTGGGCCGGGAGGAGGGAGGCGCGGGGGGGAACCGATGGCCCCGGTGCCACCAAGGTGGCACCGGGGCCATCGGTTCCCCCCCGCGCCTCCCTCCTCCCGGCCAACAGCAGGGCGAGGGGGCACATTCGGCACACACCCCCCTCCCAATATTTCCCAGACCCCAACACACAGAAAAACTTATTAAAAAACCGAGAAACAACCTCAAAAAGAGGCTTTTTTCCCCAGCCGGGGCGGTGCCACCCAGAAGTGACCGGAATCGCGTCCCCCGGGTCGCCTCCCGGGCCTCCCCCACCCGGCCAGGCCTGTCCGCGCCGCTCCACTCACCGCGGCCTCGGGGCTGCCGCGCCGCCCCGGCGCCGGTCAGCGACCCCCGCCGCCTCCTCCTTCTCTTCCTCTTCTTCCTCCTCCAGCCCCGG